AATTCCTTCTCAGGCATTTCCAAAGCCTGCCCATCTTCCAGTATGGAGTGTAGGTTTCCTTCCAGTTCATTTGCCTCAGTCACTTTATCTTGTTTCTGAACATGTGCAGATATGGTCATCTGTTTCTGTTTTTTGGGCATATTCATGGGTCATCTGTAGCCTTAATACTTAGATGGTTATATATATTGGTATTATTTAATGCTTTCTGATTGCCTCCAGGTAGATGTGATCAGGAAATCGGCTTCCCTTTTCAGTCTTCTTCTCAAGAAATTTCAAGATGCCACTGTTGGTCATTGTGACATAACTCAGGATTTAATTTTCAGCCTATTTCCTTTTTTGTCTGCTTGTCCCACTCCACAATCCCCATTCAGGCCTTTTTTCTAGTTATAAACACTTCAGGGCTGGCTGTGGTCATTTAGTTTTAAGTGGAAACTGACTCTTTAAATTTCAAGGAGATCTGTGTGCATGCATAGTAGGACTCTCTGAGGGTGGGGCTGGGGTGTCCACTAGCTCAGGCATCCCTGTAGTCACTAGAATGGAGGTACACAGACAGCAAGGGACCAACAAACAGATACCAAAAGAAAAGAATGTCCACACCTCTATCTCCACGGCTCTGACAGGCATCTGTGACTGTTTTGATCCTTCCCTCACTTGGCCCCAACCAAAATGGTGGCTCCTGGAGCAGCTGAGCATCCCGAACCAGAAAGCAATGGGTTTCTTGCTTCTGCCACAAACTCCCCCAGCTATAAGCCTTTCAACCTTCTAAATATTCCTTAATATGTGGTTCAGAGTTCTGGAACCATCCCCTGAGCCTGCTTGGTCCTGTATTTTGTGTTGTTGCCAGGGGAGCTCCTCATTGCACTTCCACCTGATCCACCATCTTGTTTGTTCTCCTGATTTATTAAACTTTTTGCATATTGATGTTAAGTGCCATTGAATCAGTTTCAACTCATAGTGACCCTAGTATGGGGCTTCTAAGGAGCGGCTGGTAGGTTGAACCACTGACATTGTGGTTAGCAGTCTAATGTTTATCCTTCAGTGCCATGCCAGAACACCAATTCTTTACATAGAACTTAATAAATTGAATAAGTACTTCTTTGAGATTTGGGTTGATAAAAATAATCCCTTCACAGAAGAGTGAATAGGGAAGCTCCAAAGAGGTTAAACAAAGATGTATGAAATGTTATCCTCTTTGAATTTTTTCTATTTTCTTCCAATTTTTTAGCAATTTTAAAAAGTAAACATATATTCTCATTCCACAAATAAAATGAGAACCAGTGTCCTTGGGACATATATGAATTATCTCAATTTTACTACAGTAGTTAATCTTAATTCTGGTAGCATAGTGGTTACAAGTCGGTCTGCTAACCTATGGTCAGCAGTTCGAAACTACCAGCCATTCCGTGGGAGAAAGATGAGGCTTTCTGCTCATCTTTCTCCCCCGTAGAGATTTACAGCCTTGGAACCCCTATACAGAGTCGCTATGAGTTGGAACTGACTCCACGGCACATAATTACCATCAGTGAAGTTCAGTGTACTTTTCCAGTTAATTTGCCATTCCAGTGACCAAAGAGATATCAAGTGCTTTGTTATCATTCCTCAACGTTTATTGGCTTTAAACAAACAAGCACTTAATTTATTTACTTTGGTTGTACATATTACAAATACTTTATAGTCTATATCATAATAATATCATTTCTCAAGGTGAGGCAGTATGTGGGTGCCCTAATTCAATTGACTTTATAACCATAAAGTAACTGTTTATATCTATAGTCCACACATCTGATTTTCTATATTTAGTAAAACTTCTTAAATTTACTGCCCAATTATCTTCATTGCTGAATAAATTCAAAATAGGTTTAAAATTTTTTTATTCAAGCAAAAGTGGAAATGTTTACTTAGCTGAACATACATGTAATAGAGTTCTACAACTTTATGAGGAGATACCAATCCTAAACATATGAATATGCAGCTCTGGTAGCATAGAGGTTACAAATTGGGCTGCAAACCTCAAGGTCAGCAGTTCAAAACTACCAGCTGTTCTGCTAGAGAAAGATGAGGCTTTCTGCTCCTGTAAAGATTTATAGCCTCGGAAACCCTGTACAGGGTCGCTATGAGTCGGAACCAATTCCACAGCACATAACAACAGTCATCTATACTCCTAGTGTGGCAATGTAGGATAAGCACTGGACTGCTAACCACAAACTTGGTGGTTCAAACCCACCAGCCACTCTATGGAAACCCTACACAGGGTCAGTATGAGTAGGAATCGACTCAACAGCACATAACAACAGCATTCATCTAGAACAAGAGCTCTCTCCAAACTTACCAGGGAAGAAAATGGTAAACTCATTACCATACAATGGTCACAAGAAACCTTAGATATAAATTTAAAATTGATATTTTTCCATATGTGGCTTATATTTTCCATATAAATTGATACTTTTCCATATGTGGCTTATATTTTCCATATAAGCCACAATTTGCACATTGCACAATTTGCAAATTGAAAAGAAGCCAGATGAACAGAGAGCTGAGTACATGGAGTACTATGGTTCATCCTAAAATTGTTAGGCTGGGATGCCACAGGCATACATTGGGCATTAGTAAAACATTGCTCTAGAAAACCTGTTACTGTTACCTAATGAACGAATACTACTTGTATTATTTATAGCTCCTTTATGAGAACTTAAGCAATAAGCAATAGGTGTAACTTTATCTTACAGATAATATGAGTGGAATAACTGGTCAGATTTCCCCCTATCTCATCAGAAACATGGAAGCTTAGAAGCAAATTAATGACAAGCACAAACATGCTGATTTAATTTCTGCCTTGTTTTGTGCCCTAATTTTACCTTTCCTACAGTCATTATCTAATAAGTGTAACTATATTTGTATTTTATGTATGCATACTAAGATTTTAAGTCTGTTCTCACTTATCTATTAAAAAGTGATTTTTAATTTAAAGAAAAATAGCTAATAATTTAATTTAATATTCATACAAAAACAAGAAAGGTTTCCTATATTACATATAAAAGAATTGAGAAGTTTAAAATATTTTTCCAAAACCATACCCTAAATCTATGAAGTAAAGGATCCAATCCAGTCACCCTAACTTCAATGAATCTAGTTTTTTGGTTTGTTTTTTTTTAACTGTTTCAAGGTAACTTACCAGTGAAAAAGCAAGTGTTGTTTCCTAACATTGAAAACACAGAAAATATCCCAACTATCAGGTGATATAAAATATATCATGTATGCTTTTGGTGGGGTGGAAATCTTGAATTTACTAGAAGTAAACTAAGATAATAAACACATGAAGCTATTCAACAAGTGTACATACAACAGAGCTGCAACTGTTCTCCATTTCTGGTCATGTCATCCCAAATTCATTGTTGTTGTTAAGTGCCATCTAGTTGGTTCCAACTTATACCGACCCTATATAAGGTTTCCTAGGAATATCTGGAGGTTTTGAACTGCCGACCTTTTGGTTCACAGTCCAGTGGTGATCTTACAGTGTCATACCAGGAATCCCAATATCCATTCCAGTCCCTGGTTGGACTTGAACCACCAACCTTTCAGTTAACAGCAGAACAGGGTAACCAATTGTACCACAGAGACAGGCCATTCCAGTTTAGGCCTTGGTTATTTAATCAAGATCGTTTTTCAAAACTAAAAGGACACGTGCAGCTGCATGTTGTTTATTAAACTTGTCTCTAGAACCTGTAATAAACCTGAGAACAAGCTTCACCCAGATAAAGCAGCCTTAGGTGTAGCAAAAAGTAATGATTTTTCTGCTTTCTCATTGTTCTTGTTTGTAAGGTTCTTTTGTCCTTTTCTCATTCATAACTGAATATTCTACAAATCCTAAGCATCTTTTCTGGAAGATTATAAAATATATATACACGAAATGCTTTAACTGTAAAACACTATATGACAACTGCTACACCAACCATCATAATTAAATCTTTACATTTCAAGTGTAATAGCCGTTTTTACTAGGCATAGCTATCATACATAAATAATTGTCTTCATAAAATTATGCTCTGTAAAAGAAAAATTGTTATAATATATTTAGGCCTTTTTCTTTAATTTTTATGCTACAAAACTGTGGGAACTATGTATCATTTCATTAGCATTTTGATACCCCTCCTGGCTATGAAAACACTGACTCTTTATTGTAGAGAGTTGCATTAAAATAAAATAAATCTATTTTACATATATTATGAGTATTTTCTCATCCCAGAATATGGTCAATTTTAGCTCTTTAATATTTTTTTAAGATGATTATCTTACTAAAAACATTTTAATAAACATTTAAAAAGAAGTCTGAATTGGGGAACAGGGGACTATATTCCTACCCGTAGATTTCTGCCTGGGTTTGAGATGATTCCTGAAATTCAGCATCGTATAGCCATCTTCATTCTCCATCTCCTCATATGTTTTCATGAGTTACCACTAAGAAAGTAGTAAAAAGGAAATGGAGACTAATCTCAACATTGGATATTACTCTTAGACCTAAAGGATATCCAAAAATAGTCAAAATTTACCTAGGCACAGCTCTCTTAAACCACACAGGATATGCTATGAATGAAATTGATAGGCACATTAATTTCTGGTTACAATTCTGCTTGCTACAAAGTAAAAATGACATTTCATTCCCCATTCTATTCAACAAATATTTATTGTGTGCTTACTATGTCCCTGGCAAGTATGCGGTAGTTTACAAGGAATGTAACAATAAATAAGAGAGACATGTTTCTTACCTTCATGTCTTTTATATTGGGCTAGTGGTGGTGGTGGTTGTGTGCCAGTTCCTAATCGAGTCAGTTCCTACTCAAGGAGACCCTGTATGATTTCCAAGACTATAATTCTGTATGGGAACAGAAAGTCTCATCTTTCTCCCATGGAACAATGGATAGATTCCAACAATGAACCTTGCAGTTAACAACCCAGTTCATAATCCACTACACTACCAGGTCTCCTTTTTATAGTGTAGATAAAAATGAAATATTATAGAATTAATAATCAAACACATATACCAAATGTCTGGCTCAATAATAATTAAAGTATAAATTTTTTTCCAACTTTTTATTGTGAATGATGTGAATGTTTATTGAGCAGATGGTCAGTTTTGCATTCAACAAATCATATACTTTGTTTTACTACAGTGATTGCAATCCCTTCCATGTACCAACAGTCAGCATTATTTACTTCTCCATTTTAACTATTACATTCTTCCCTTGGTGATAGAAACAATGCTGGAGATCAAATGATAGAATTTTGCAATACCAATGACTTTTACATTGCATACATCTTTTTTTAAACAACATAAAATAACACTATACACATGGACCTCACCAAATGAAATAAACAGAAATCAAATGTGCTACATCTGTGGAAAGAGATGGTGGAAAAGTTCTATATCATCAACGAAAGCAAGACTAGGGACATTAATGTGGAACAGACCATCAATTGCTCCTATGCAAGTTCAGGCTTAAGCTGAAGAAATTGGAAAGAAGTTCACAAAAGCTAAAATATGACCTTGAACATATCCCACCTGAATTTGGAGATCATCTCAAGAATAGATTTGATGCATTACACATCAGTGACTGAAGACCTGAAGAGTTGCGGGATGACATCAAGAACATCATACAGGAAGAAAACAAAAGGTTACTAAAAAAAAAAGAAAGATGGAAATAAAACAAAATGGATGTCAGAAGAGACTCTGAAACTTGCTCTCCAGTGCAGAGATGCTAAAGCAAATGGAACAAATGAGGAGACAAAAGAGCCTAACATAAAATTTCAAAGGGTAGTTTAAGAGACAAAGTCAAATATTATAATGAATTGTGCAAAACCCTGGAGTTAGAAAACCAAAAGGGAAGAACATGCTCAGAATTTCTCAAGCTGAAAGAACTGAAGAAAAAATTCAAGCCTCGACTTGAAATATAAAGGACTGTACAGGCAAAATATTGAATGATAATGTAAAAGATAGACATTTGGGGGCAAAGGGAGGGGAGTGATTAACTTTGCAATCTAGGAGCGGAGGTCCCTGGGACCATCAAAGGAGAAGAGCGGAGAACAGAACCCTACCCAGAGAAGCAGTGATGCCTGAGATGGAGACAGAGATGATGACTTGGAGAGATGGAGCAGCTGGGGACTTTGGACCCAGAGAGGGAGAGGGGCTATATGCAGGTGATTGGGGGAAGACTTGTGGGGTATACCCTTTGGTTGATAGATGATGCATGGAAGGGATTGTAACCATGGCAAGGAAATGATATACAATGGGATCAATGTGAAGCTGATGTTCTCCCATGTAAATTATCACATAATTCACAATAAAGCATTAAAATATACATATATATATGTGTGTGTGTGTGTGTGTGTGTTGAATGATTCAGAAAGCATCAAAAGAATATGGAAGGAATATAATGAGTTACTATACTAAAAAAAAAAAAAGAAAAAGAAGGTTTATGTTCAACCCTTTCAGAAAGTAGCATATGGTCAAGAGCCAGTGATACAGAAGAAAGAAGTGCAAGGTACACTGAAGGCATTGGCAAAGAACAAGGCTCCAGGAATTGATGGAATGCAAACTGAATTTTTTTTTTTTTTTTAACAAATTGATACAGCACTGGAGGTACCCATTCATCTATACCCAGAAATTTGGAAGACCAGATATCTGGCCAGCTGATTGGAAGAGATCCATATTTGTGTCCATTCCAAAGATAGGTGAGCAACAGAATACAGAAATCATTAGACAATGTTATTAATATCGCATGCAAGTAGAAGGTTGCTAAATATATTTGAAAAACAGCTGCAACAGTACATTGACATGAAACTGCCAGAGTTCAAGTAGGATTCAGACAAGGACGCGGAACAAGGGATATCATTGCTGACATCAGCAATGCTGGCATTGGCTAAAAGTAAAGAATACCAGAAAGATGTTTATCTTAGCTTAATTGACTGTGCAAAGGCTTTTGACTGTGTGGATTGTGACAAGCTGTGGATAGTATTGCAGAGAATGAGTATTCCTAAACACTTAATGGTGTTCATGAAGAACCTGTACACAGACCAAGAGGCAGTCATTCGAACACAACAAGGGGATACTGAATGGTTTGAAATTAGGAAAGGTGTATGCCAGGGCTGTATTCTTTCACCACACATATTCATTCTGGATGCTAAGCAAACAATCTAAGAAAGTGGATTATATTAAGAATGTGGCATCAGGACTGAAGGAAGACTCATTAACAAATGTGATTTGCAGGTGATACAACCTCCCTTGCTGAAAGTGAAGAGAACTTAAAATACTTACTGAAGAAGATCAAAGACTACAGCCTTAGGTATGGTTGCACTCCAATGTAAAGAAAACAAAAATCCCCACAACTGGACCAATAAATAACATCAAGATAAATGGAGAAAATATTGAAGTTTTGAAAGACTTCATTTTGCTCCAATCAACTATCAACACTCATGTTAGTAATATTTAGAAATCAAATGACATACTGCAGTTTTTTCTTCCTATAATCCAGCTTCTCTAATTATTTACTAAACATACATATTGAATAACTATGGTGATAGAACTTGGATCTGGTGCATACCTTTCATAATTTTAGACCATTCAGTGTTCCCTTGTTCTATTCTAATAACTGCCTCTGATCTATGTACAGGTTCCTCATGAGCCCAATTTAAGTGTCCAGGAATACTCGATCTCCTCAGTGTTGTCCATAGCTTGTCATGATCCACACAATCAAAAGTCTTTGCATAGTCAATAAAGCACAGGTAAAAATCTTTCTGGTATTCTCTGCTTTCAGCCCAGATCCAAATGACATCAGCATGATACCCCTTGTTCCACATCTGAATCTGAATCTGACTTGAACCTCTGGCAGTTCCCTGTCAATATATTGTTTCAGCTGGTTTTGAATTATTTTTAGCAAATTTTTACTTTCATGTGGTATTAACGATATTGTCCAATGATTTCCACATTCCATGGTTCACCTCTCTTTGGAACAGGCACAAATATGGATCTCTTCGAATCAGTTGGCATAGATGACCCAGTGCCTCCAGTACTGCATCAATTTGTTGAAAGATTTCAATTTGTATCCCATCAATTCCCAAAGCCTTGTTCTTTGCCAATGCCTTCAGGGCACCTTGGACTTCTTCATTCAGTATCATTGGCTCTGGATTATGTGCTATCTCTTGAAATGGTTGGACATTGACCATTTCTTTGTGGTACAGTGACTCTGTAAATTCCTTCCATCTTATTTTGATGATTTCTGCACCATTGAATATTTTGCCTTTAGAACTTTTCAATATTACATGTTGAAGCTCGAAATTTTCTTCAGTTCCCTCAACTTGAGAAATGTTGAGCATTTCTTCTCTTTGGTCTTTTAACTCCAGATCTCTGCATGCTTCGTTATAATATTTGACTTTATCTTCTGATATTTAAAATACCCATGACACAACTTCGAGAATCACAACAACACTCAGGTCACCACAATACATTCAACTGACAGAAAAGTGTTAGTGTTTATTGTTAGGTTTTTTATCATCCTAAATATTTTCATCTTCTCATTCTACCTTCTTCTCAAAGAATCTCATCCACAACAAATTTGTACTATGCTTCAATAATTCTAAAAGTGTTTTGTGAAAGCATCTTTTGAGCTCCATATACCATACATACACAACTGTCATCTTGATGTTTCCAATTAAATGATTCAATGGTTAAAAGTAAATATTTATAAAATTTAATACTTGATATCTCCCTCAGATTTGTTTAGCATCTAAGATTTTATACTGAGCTGTATTTCACTACCATCCATTCAATTGTATAAAACATACATCCTTTATATGGCCTCATCCTTCACACCATAGTCAAATACCAAGTCTCGTTTTGCTCCCAAATATCTCTTATCTACTCACTTAACTGCATCTCAATACCTATAATAGAGTCCAAGAACCTCTCATCTTTAGCCTATAATACTGCAATAACCTCTGTTTGGATCTTTGTTGTTTGTTGTTGTTAGGTGCTATCAAGTTGGTACTCGCCCATAGTGACATTATGCACAGCAGAACGAAACACTGCCTGATCCTGGGACAACCTCTTTAGGCACCTCTTTTCCCTCTAGTGTCTGTTTTCTATACTGTAACCAGACAAGTGTTTTAGGTCCAACTCTTTCTTCTCCCTCCCATCTTTCACAGACTCTTTTGTTGATGATGAAAATGTGCAATGTGACTTGTAAACACTGTGGTCATCAGCAATGTTTCAATTTAAGTAGCCACATTCCTGTCTGGATCACTGATACCATCTAAAAGATTAATGGGATTCTTCTCTTCTCCAAGATGAGAAGCATGGCAGTCACTGGATCTTTGTGTTTTTCTCCTGGTTGCTTCACTTTAAGAGTTTTAGTAATAAATGTAAGTTTCACACAGTCTTTCTAGCCTTTCACCTTATAATTGTATTAAATACACTGAATCCTGAAAAAGGCAAACAATGCTCTTAGATTTATTTACTGAAACATTTAAAAAGTATATTTAATATGAAATTATTTTTTCATTTTCTCTATTGTCATCTTTTTTCTCTAATGAAAATTCTCCCTCATTTTACTGTGTTATTTTTTGCCATTATTATTTTTTTTCTTAAATGTTTTATTGTGAATTATGTGATAGTTTACATGGGAGAACATTAATTTTACATTCATTCTACCGTGTATCATCTCATTGCCATGGTTACAATCCCCTCCATGAATCATCAACCAATCAAAGGGTATACCCT